AACGTAAAGACTCGTTAAATTTCACCGAGGAAATCTCCACTTAGACAGCGTGTCGTTCCATTTGCGTCTACAATTGAGAGAAAGAACTTCCTCACCGGTGTGTCACAGGTGAACGCAATCGGTGACGCGTGTGTGCCAATTTCACCGTTAATTAGTATTCGTAATCATACGTGGACGCGACAGAGAGCGACGGCGCGATCGAAAGTGTCTCCTTCTTTCTCACTGCCGATTCGCTCTCTCTTTTAGATCGGCCGTCACCAAATCACCGCTTCTCGTATGATAAATGCGACGTTAAAATCATGAAAAAAGCGGCTGGCTCGAGATAGCCGGGGCTTGCTCGGATCCTTTTTCACGACGTGAAAAGTCTCGCCGATTTTGTAGATAAAGACAACGGCGGTGGTCAACGAGCAGAGTACAGCACTATCGGAACTTAGAAAGTCGAGGAAACGTTGCATGTGAACTGGTCGACTCCCACGCCACATTTACAGGCACTTGCTGTTCTTACGTAAATACTCGGCGAGGATCTCTCGATCGCGAAGTGCGCGCTATCGTTCGTCGATCGGCGATCGTCCGGTATTTGCATGGCGAGGTAGAAGAGACGCGATTAAATTAACACTTGAACGAAAGCGAGAGCGCGATCGAGACCCTGAGCCAAAGCAGAGAACATCGCTAAAAGGGAACTATCCTTCAACGCGATTATACAAGACGACTTTGGTGCATAAACCTATGGTGAGTCCCGAGATATTATAACAGGTGGAGCGATAAAAGGCAGATCTCTGTTGCCGGCAGAAAGTTACAGAGGCACGGCCAGATTTTTGTCTGCTCGAAAGCGCAGTCGGTTTCACGACGATGGAAATGACGGCGCGAAATGCATTAAAGTACATAAAAGGACAGATAATGAGAGTCTCGGCATAAAAGTAACGGCATCGCTCGTCGGTCGCGATTGCAATCCGGTCTCGCTCGTTCTTTTGTCGGGATCCGAATTTTAAATCGCCGGATCTCTGGGTGACGTGACACACCGTCGAGAGTACCGCGTGTCAACGGCGAAAGAATGGCTGCTGGTTCACGATCGGGTCGCGATAGGTCAGTGACGTCTTCTGAATACACACGTCGCTGCACTTAAACGCAAATTTTGTTTTATTGCGCGCGTTATATTTTATTTTCTCGCCAGTGCATAAAAATGTCTCCTGACATCCCGAAAAAAAGTCAGCTAAAAAGAATTATGTCTCAGAATTATGCAAATTTTGTTGCACAAACAGCAGTCGACTGAGATTGTGTAAAAATCGGCAATCAGACGTAGAGAACTGAATTGCAAAATTTAGTAAACAGTAAAAGATTGACGCAATTAGGAAAAAGAATCGTGCAGAAAGATCTAAGTTTCAGGGTTACGCAGTTCTGTTGCACAATCAGCAATCGGGTCGAATAAAAATTGAGTCAGATGAGCAGTCGGACGTAGAAAACTAAATTACAAAATTTAGTTAACGACGAAAGATCGACAAGACCGAGCCGCAATTGTGTATAATATAGATGTTCTTTCGACTACCAGAAGGCTAACCTTTAACTGCATAATACGAGTAATTCTGTTACTTCTAGTGGAAGATTAAGTGAGTCCAATGATTACGACGACCGATAATGAGTTGAGTCATTAGTTTTACGATCGTCTCGTTAAACTAAATTTGATTTTACACAAACAAAAGAACAAAAGAATGCGAGACTTTTGCTGAAAGAATTAAGACAATAATTCCTTATAACCAAGCCTGAAATTGAATTCGTTTAGCTTGATTCGAATTGTTCTCAACAGAGTTTCTTTTATAGTGTAAGCGTAAACAATGTTAGTTCTAGTTGTTGTTTCAAGAAACTCCGTCTTCTGGTTCTCGTGAAATTCGGTAGAATGGTTTCAAATACTCTCCATCTGCATACCTAAATATCTTTTTTGCACAATTGGAAATTAATTGAGATAATGTTAAAATAATGAATATAGATATTTCCAAAAGTTTACACACCACGGATAAATATTAAAAAGTACCAGAAAAATCTGTATGAAAAATCAATCAAAGTAATAAATTCAAATAACATATTTTATAGGTAAAAAGCAATTATTTTAGTATTAGCAATATATGTGTGGGCGTAAGAACCTAACTTAAGTCAATCACTGCTATAAGTACAACCATTATTTCAACGTTATCAGTTAATTGTCAAAAAAACCCTTTAAACATATTCATTTGAAATATTTAGAATTATTTCACATAAATTTTATGAGAATCGAACGATGAATTCCTTCAGAACTATACCCTCTAGAATATAATCAGTATATTCTTCACTGATATGATATACTTATAGGTGGTGGTTCAATTATAAGCACAGCATTGCAATAAATAAAAAATCTCGCTGGAAAAATCAATTAATAGCAACGACTGTTCCTATTGTTGATATAGTTTGTAAATACAGACAGTATCATTGTATACAAATCACGTAGAGGCTGCTAATTCCATCACCACAAACGCAGAATTTGGATTTTGCATAAGGTATAACGAATTTGTACACAGATTTATATCGGTGAAATATGCCTTTCATTGATTCAAGAAATATTTTTACTGCTTCATTCTAAGAGTGAGCAATCTTATTTTTACTCCCGTAATTTAGCTACAATTATTTTTTTGTGGATTAATCGCACTCGAGGCGCTCGAGTCATACATACACCTTAGTCGTGTCGCTTCCTTCGCTCCTTGCATGTGTGTTACGAAATCCCGACGGGGGGAAAGAGAATTTCGCAATGCTGGACGAGGATAGAGAATTCTCGTTCTCGTAGCACGCGGAAGGCAATAATTAGCGGCCATTATTCGGCGTGGCGCCGTCCGCGAAACGAATGTCGGTTGCGCGGGGTGTTAAAATTAAAGTGTTACGTGCCGTTTATCGAATAAAAGAGGAGAACTAAGAGAGAAAAGAGCCCCTCAACTAGAGCGTCGCGCCTCCTTCCCAGCAGTTCCGCAGCGATTCGTTCGTCGCGTAGGAAGTGATTTCCCATTGAAAAAGGGAAAAAAGAGGACAAAACGCGCCAGTCATCGAGTCAATTTTTGCAGAACGACCGTGATTGTCCCGCGGCGGACACGAAAACGAGCGGGGCGATGCATTTAATTGGCCCTTTACGTAACCGCGCTCTTTGTTCGCGCTAAAATCAGAGTTGAAACCCGGCGTTTCCCTCCGCTCCCACACCGTGAACGCAGAGTGAGGAGCGTTTCAGCGAGAGGCAGCGTTTCATGATGACGAAAACGAAAAAAGGGAACGGAATCGTTCAAAGGGTGATCGCGCAAAGTTACGACAGCGACAATCCGTCCGTCCCGAAGGCGGGACTCGCGAGCCTGTTCCCTCGCGATCGCCGAGGCAAGCTCCGCTTGCAACTACGTCCCAATCATGGGACAATTAAGTTTCATTAAAGAATATTGGCGGTTCAAGTAAGCGATATGAACCGACGCGAATGCGCCAGCGATCAGCAACTGCGAAGTATCTATAAATGCGCACTGACTCAAGAGATGCCGAGATCGAAACTTGAGACGCTCGTTAAAAGCGCGCGGGCGTCGCTTTTGCTCGCTTTGGTGGACATTTTCCACTTTACGACGAATATACACTTTACACGAAGTCGCGTGCACTTCTCTCGCGCTTCGGCAAAACGGGATTCAATTTGCAAATGATACATCTGGCGATAACGTTAATAACGGTCTGTCCTTTGAGCATGACGAATGGGTCATGTATTCTCTTTCTTTTTCTCTCTTTCTCTCTTTCTTTCTCTGTGTGTCTCTCATAGATTCATGCGCATCTCGCGAGAGTCTCAGAGCGCTCTTATAGATCGCCAGTCACTTGCGGTCTGTGAAATTTTAACTGTCCGCTTTTACGAGCGAGATTTGAACGCGGCGGAACGCCATTGACAATAAAATTCGAATGCCGCCATACTTTCACACACGGAGGTGGCGGTCGGTCGCTGTTGTTGTTTCCCGCCGAATCTTCATGGTCTTTTCACAAGTGTCGTGCTATTTCAATCAGTCACTGCGCGAAAGTGTCGCCGAAAGAAATTCGTGAAACGAACGCGCGGGCGACTGTTGAATGAATTCCGGCGAGTGAGAGAGGTTCTCGCGAATGGATCGACGCCATTCTGACATGAATCTTGGAGTAATTGAGAGATCCGTGCTTCTTCGACTTGATTACATCATATTATTTTGGCCAATCGCAACATAAATTCGCGAATAAATTATACCCAGACAGCACAAATTTCTAAAAGATGTCTCAGAAACGTCCAGAAGACATTTTATTTTATTACATCTTTCAGACGTCTTTTCAGAAGTCTGTGCTGTTTGGTTACTTTTTGTTTATGGATAACTTTTTTCTGGATTCGCGGTGCAAACTGTGTGTGATTTACCGCGCAAGTTGAAACAATACGCATAAATGCGACACGCAAGTTGTTCGAAACGCTTTCTTCTTCGTGATGCAAATCGAGAAAGTTTTCATTAAAAGTAGTACTAAGTTTGTTAATGATGATCACGATAAGCAACATCATGTTTAAATAGCCGCCGTTATGCAAGAATGATCCAATGCATATGAAGTATGTTTAAAAAAAAATAAAAATGAAAATTTGATACATGATTTAAAAAAAATATAAGTAGCACACCGAGGTTCTTCGCAATCGTTCAAGAAGTCAAGCATGGTTAATCTTTTTTTCTCTAAAAATATTCATTGACGAACTTAATGCTGAAAAAAATAGGTAAAAACGACGCAACTAGTAAAGAATAGGAATTGTTTTTTAATTAATTTTAGGCGTCTACAAGACTTGTATCTTTTTTGTTCTACGTGAAAAGATGTATAGACTATCTATTGATAAAAAAAAGGACAAAAACTCAAAAATTGTAATTATGTGGGTTGGATCGTTTTTGGCCATAACTGTGGCCAGGTAATACTCCGCAGCGTGCGTGTGTTCTTAGCGCAATCATTTGACGTCCGAGCGAACATACCTGAAGAATGGAAGACTCGCGACAGGACAAGAAACATACGATTTCCCAGGACCCAGCACCTCGCCCTCACCTGCTCCCGCGGAATCTCGTGAAATCCTTCGATCCTTCAGCGAGAGAGAGAGTTTGAGGGATCACTGTGCGTTTGACGTGCGATCCATTCGTGTTTCGCGGGTACGCGCACGCGCACGAAGATCGATATCGTTTTCGCGACCGATCGATATCGTTTTCGCGACCGAGAATCGCGCGAAACGGACGAAACGTAGTCGCGGCTCCGTGTACACTGCGGCCAAGGATCGAGTGAAGGTAATGAAATAGCTAAGTGTAGCGGCCGCTGTCTCACTTCATCTCCCTCTCCCTCCCTCCCTCCCTTCCTCCCTCTCTCTCTCTCTCTCTCTCTGTCTTTTACTCCGTCTCTCTTCCCACGTGCGGGTTCCACCACTTCTTTGCAGTTACGAGGTTCTCGATTGGCGCGCGTTGTTTCTTGCCCGTGGCTTTTGAGCCGCTTCGCGTCGCACGTGGCTCAAGGAAGAGCACCTGTCAAACGCAACGTGTGTTCAGCGACAGGGGCGATTTTAACACGATAACCGTCGCATTGATATCCAAAGTTGATTGCACAAAGGCTCGTACAAAGGCAAATCATATTTTATACGTAATTCAACGAGAAGATGCGGTGGTATCACTGTGACCATCGCAGAATTCAACGGGTTAACAGCTCGAATGAATTGAAATCTTCGACGTGAATGTTCTATAGTGTATCGAGAAAAAAAAGAATATTTTTTTAATGCAAAGGAAGAAATGTCTAGTTTCTTAAGATTATTTAAACAAAATTATAGATTCTTTTAGTAAATTAAGAAAATTAAGCGAAGCAATTTTCTTCTTTGAACCAAACAATAAATGATTTGCTGAGCAATAAAATTATTTGAAAAATCAAACAAAATTATATTTATTGATCGGAATATTAGTTTCTTGAAATCATTCTAACGATAAAATTTGTTTAAATGTGCAATAGATTTTATTAAAACCAAAGAAATCTTTTTCTCTGTGTGGTTTAAATTGTCGTAACATTGTCGTAACAGTGACGGTTAAATGCCTGACAGATAAACGAGGATGATATCTCTTGCGTTCCCGATGCGCCTCACGATAAGTGTACAGTTAGCTTTGGGTTTTTAAAAAATAAAAAAACGCAAGATGAAGTCTGTCCTTCGTGCGAAATCCTGGACGAGATTTTATCGTGCAATTAACTGATGGGGAGAATTGATCCTCTTGATCCTCTGACGAATTAAGCTCGGAGATAAATAGACGTGACGGGATGCCCGTTTTTTAATGAAAGATTTCACAAAAGAGCAGAGCAATTAGATCGCCCAAGATGGCGACTAACATTTGGCATCTAACTGTCGCCGCGAATCTCGCCGGCGATCTCTCGTGAAATCGAGATGGAGCTTCCCGTTCTTATTTTCACTGCCGTTAACCCAGAATACACGTGCGCGCGCGTTCGTCTTCTTTATTACCTGCGTTTTTATGTGTACGCTCTTCTCCTCTCGCCGAAATTCCGTTAATTCCGGCAACAATGGCGCACCTAGTTTCCCATGAGAGGCATTACTCCCGATCTAATTAGTTCACGTGTCGCGACCATTTTTTCGTTCATTAGTATTAATTTGTGACGAATGACGCGCTACACCAGATGCCCGTTCTCGTCATAGCGTGGAAGCACGAGGGTCTCTGGAACGTGGGAAAGCTGATAAAAGATACTCAATTTCAGACATATATGGGAGATCGCGGCAGGTTGATATAAAAAGTTAGCCGGAGGTTTCGTTTACACATTTATTGAGAGGAAAATAGTGGAAAAGTGACCGAAACGTGAGGAATATCCGATGGTATAATTTGTTAGTTAAATTGTTTTTAAGATAAACATTAGTTTATTAACAATATAAAAAATGACAAATTAATAAGTTAACTTTAAGAGGCAAATTATGCTAATGTATACGTACAAAAATGAATATTTTATTTAAATATATTCGGGCTATCGAAAATATCTTTGCAATTTTTCCTTAAGAAAAATAGCAATAAACTTCATTAAAACAGAGCAAGATTATCTCTATCATTTTTATACAGTCAATCTATAACAATTAGTTGCCCGAAAAATTCTGTCACTAAAATTATGAGAAGTTATTTCTCTCTACATTTTCGATACAATGCAATTTGTTCGAAAGAAATATTTATAAATATTATAAATAAAAAATATTTAATTATATCCTGCTGCTAAGAAAAGTAATGACTCAGTTTGCTTTCCTTCTTTTAAATAATGGTTATCTTCTACATACAATATTCTCTTTATATAACTTTAAAATAACCTTAATAATCTTATTTAATAACCTTAAAATAGACTCATCACAAATGTGAGGAAAGTTCATTACCATGCACTCAGAGCAAGGTCATCGGCTACCGTAACCGGAAGCGGGACAGTTTCAGTTTTAAAATGCATTTTACTTGGCCGTTTATCCACGTCCAATAAGCGTGATTTCGTGATTTTTGTATTTTGACTGCTAGACTGTTGAAACTTTTTTCATCATTTTCGTCTCTTTGCTTACGAATATCGAGACGTTAAATTCGAGTTTTTGATGGAACACAACTTATACAGCGGCGTAATGCGATTTTTTATACTGCGACCTTTTATACGTGTTGTAAGGGCTTTTGACTGAAGAGGACCACGTTACATGGTCGAAACGTTTTTTATAAAAATATTTTTTATGTATCTTTGTATTAGCGCTTAACAACTGCATTTTGGCGTCCTCGTATGAGTTTTTATTTTAGTTAAAATGCATTTTGTTTTACATTTTTATGACTTTTCCACAAGAAAATATCAACGAGCGGCGAAATTGTCAAAAGGACACCTGCGACCGCTACAAAGTTGCATGCCGCTCCCTTGGCGCAGGCGTGTCGTGAAGTGCAAAGTCTGCGGCGCGATCACACTACATTGTGATATGCCGCTCGCCCACAAAGAGGGCCACTTATCGTTTTTAAAAATTCCTCAATCTTTGAACGTCCTTATCTCGGTGGAAAATCGATATACGAACGTGATTCAAGTGCCATTTTTTTCAGCATCGCGCGTTGCACGCGTTTGCGCCGGTCACGTACGCTCTTGTTATGGCACATTGTTACGTGATACGATTACATGACGTGACACATTGCACACGCGACATATCGCTACACCAAAGTGTCAAAATATATTTAAACGTGAATAAACAATATGGTCCATACAGAAATCTGGTTGTGCCAACCAGATTCAATAGTAAAATACGGAGCAACTATTTATGTGGTTGCTGTAACCAAAGAGCGATGGCTGAGTTACTTCTGTTGCAATAGTGATAATACATGGTTAATATAAACGCGGCTCATTACGCGGCAACTACAAATGTATACTTATACACTCAGAACCAGTTTTCACATGTATACATCTCCAGCTGTGCGCTTAGTGAATTGCTTTTGTTTCCTAACATCGCTGCTTTGCAATATAGCATTGATTAATGCAACTATATCGATATTTAGCTTGCCTATGCAAAATGATCCCCTTACTAATTTCTGGTTGCCAGAAATCACGCGCAACTTCATTGATGTAGTTGACACACCAAAGTAAGTAAGTCAAATCAACCATACACATAACTATCATACAAAGATATGTAGAATGATGCAGCTATTTGCTTACAACTAAATATTTTTTGTTAGGTGCACCACATATCTTTTTCCGTGTGGAGAAATACAAAGTTCATCGATATAAGTGTTCGTTATTTTTTCGAGATGTCACACGTGTGATTTCGAGCGAGGTTATACAATCAATGTCATGAGCAACACGCACCAGAAATTCGCTCTTGGCTGATGCGAACGTTACAGTTGTGAACGTTCGGTCAACCTCTCGGGTGTCGGGGACAATGGACGTGGATGCATTCCGCGAGTCCGTGCGGAAATCAGAACGCGTAACCGTCGAGTGTCCTTAAAGCGTGGAATTGTCTACGGTACTTTGCAGGCAGGTGGGGTCGGGGGTCAATTGTCAATGAAAAATTAACCGGCGTAATGGCCACGGATGCGTCAGGCAAATGAATAGAAAACGTGCCAGTTAACTAGATACTTTGTACGCGCAATTGGATCCCTTGCGAAACGAAAAACATTTGGCTAGCGCGGAAAGTTAGAAAACGTGTAGGGAATGACATTACGACATTATACGCACTAAGATGAGAGAGAAAGAGAGAGTGAGAGGGAGAGGGGCGGATGGAATAATACGTTATTACTCGACGCGCGTCGGAAGTGCACAATAGGTACTTACAGCGTGCTCATGACCGGCTCCGAAACGCACGATTCGTTTTGCCTTGTGTGTTTTATGCGATCAGCGCGTACATAAAAGGGTAGTTGCACGTATAATCATATACTGCGATTATTAATGCGCTTATTATTATTCTATCGCTGTGATTATAGCAGAAGTGCACGACAGCTAATTAAAACAGCTAATTAACCGTTCGCGGTGCTTACAATCTCATTTTTTTCACACTTGTCAACTACGAATTACGTAAGCAATGTTAGCTCTCCACTTCACGAACCAATATTCGATCGCTCACCAACTTTCGTAAAGGGTGCGGTCTTATAGCTGAAGCTTCTGTATATCTTTAGGCACAAAAATAAAATATGCTCGAAAAGAAATTTTCAATAATGTTATGGGTAGTTTAAAGGATCTGACAGATTCAGATTGCATTATGTCCCAAAAATATGACTGTACGGAGGGTTAATTTTAAATTCGAAGAATATAAAAAAATACCTCTCCTCTTTCTCTCCTTCGCCTAATATGTAGTATTATTTTAACGGCGTACGATCAACACATATAGATCGCGAATCGACAGAACCAATTGCGGAGTAGTGTCGTAACACCTCGCCGGAACTTCGAGGAACGATCGGCGGACACAATATTCCAAAGGTGCGCCAGAGCCACGAGACACATCATAAAGAGGCCATTCTCGTGAAAAAGAGTTGTTAACTCGGGTAAAGTCCATAACGAAAAAATTGTGCCACTTCTGGTCGGCTTCGAGCCGCGTGTCGCGATCGGACCGCAACTAGACCGAGTAAAAAGCCGTGGCCGTGAATCGCCTTCGCGAGCACAAAAGAAGATGAGCTCGAAAATTGTTTACTTAAAAGCAGATCGCCCAGTTTCTGCCAAGCGGAACCGTGTCTCTCTCGCGTTGCTCGCCGTGGCGCATCTCCGCGACTATTATCGGATCATCGATGCGATCGCACAAAGGAAAAAGGAAGGGAAAAAGAAAGGAAGTCGACGATTGATGCATCATACTATGCTATGCGACTTTGCTATGCGACCTTAACACGTTGATTGCCACGTTGATGTCAGTGGTTTACACAAAACTGAACCGACGATTGGAATCACCAGAGATACGACAAACAGATAAAACTCGAGATAAATATATCTTTCACGTCGTTTTGTTGGCTTTCTGTTAGACTGTACAATCAATTTCACAGGTGCAATTAATTATACTTTACATGTAATTTAATAAGTCACGATGGTAGCGTAGAATGCCGGTCATTAGTGATTACACGATGTTCATTCTGTTAACGCTTCGACTGATGTGTTAAATTTCTTTGATATAAAATTGTTTAATGAGTTATCGAAGATGGAGTAAGTAAATATAATCATAAAATATATATAATTTGCGTAGATACACATCCAGTTATTGTCTAATATTAATATCAATTAGGATTCGAAGAAGTTTTACTTTCCAGTTACTGGACAAAAGTTGACACAACTGTCGAGTAAACCACATGAAATTTTTAGGAAAGAACCCAAGACGCACATATCTTTTGAATCGTTTTATTATAAATCAGTAATTGAATAAAGAGTCTATAAGAGTTCAAGCACAGCTGTTACAGTGCAATAAAACTAATATATATTAGTGACACACCTCTCGCATTTGAGTGAATATTTTATTAATTTAACGTAACGAAAAGGGACCATACGCGTTTCGGTCTAACTTTACAGATCCTCCTCAGTGGTAAAATGGAATTTTACAACGATGAGTACATAAGTCGTCTGTCGAAGAAGTCGCAAATAAAAAGATGTCATTTTATATGTAATAGTCGCAGACAGGAAATAACAGCTGTGCTTGCACTTGTATAGGCTCTTTACTCTACACTTTCAATTACTGATTTGTTTCAAAAAGAGTTCTTTTTTCGTCTTATTTTCGTTTTATTATCTTCCCATTGGCCAATGATCTGTTATACACAGATGTGATTGATTATACGTTACACATAACTTAAAAAGTCGCGATAGTGTCATGGCGCCGGTCATCGGTGACCGTCACGGTATTTGCAACGTGCCAGGAGAATGCGCGGTCGTCGTGAGTTTTGTTCAAGTTTTGCGATAATTATGCGGGGCGCCGTGGATAATAAACGTTGCGAAACAAGCGAACGGGATGGTGGAAAGGGCTGAAATAGCGCGAGCGGAGACCGGTTTTCGTGCTGGCTGCCTGAACCGCGAGGCGCACTTTCGGTGAGCTGAAATGGAAAGCGATTTTAAAAGCACCCGGCAATCGCGTTATTACTACGCCTTTCCTTTCCATCGCCTCGAGTAAGCGGCGATATAAATCGCTTGTATGTGCACGATCTGCACGGCGTTGCTGGCGGCGCGCGTAATTAATCCCGCATTTTCGACGCAACGCTTGTCGTAAGCGCGAACCTTGGCCACTCGCGTATATCTGTCTTAGAGAGTTAGGTCGGTCGTTTAAATCGTCTGAATAATGACGCGTATAACGAAGAAAAAAGAAGATATATAGTTACACGTTTTCTTGTGATATTCAATCTAATTAAAATTCAAAACTCAAGTAGTTATTTTTACGTGTAAATTAATATCATATTTAAATATCATATTTAACCAGTTAGCTGTGTTGCCCTCTTTTAAAAATGTGTACCTAAATTGTGTTGCATGACGAGTATACTCGTCATACACAGCTAACTGGTTAATACTGATCTATATTATATTTAATACTGATCTACTGAATATAAAGAATCAAAAGTTTCGAACACAAATTCGAGCTTTTATTAATAGTATAAAAGTTATGTAATGTTAAGAACGTTATAATAAAAAGTTATAAAAAAAAACAGATAAAAGAAAATTATAATCAAATGAAATCATACTGAGAAATCAGGAATTTGTGGAATATAAAGTATATTCCTGTGAAATAAAATTTTTTTCTGTGAAATAAAATTAATATTTCTGAAATAAACTTTCTCTGAGATAAACTTTTATCTTAGATTAAATAGATTTTTAAATATTTTTTTTTTTTACACACACAACACACACACAATGCACATGCTGTGTAAAGATTAGAAAAATTGATGAACGTACAATTCAATTAATTATAGACTTGCCTTGGATAATTCCATGACAAATCCTCCTCAAGTTCATGCTACTTTGATGCGCTTATAGCAGTATTAATAAGTAATTAATTAATTTTTAATTTAATATTTTCTTATTAATACGAAAGTAGACGATCGTGATTCAGTGTGTTACTTTATCGCCAAATCAATCAAGACAACGAAGCTATACGCGGATTTGTTTTCGCGCGACACGACCGATCGATCGATTCTTTCTCTGTTTCAGGAAGAATACGTTTCCGAAAACATCAGATGGACGCCGGTAGAATACTTTAATAACGCCATCGTGGTGGAACTTCTCGAGGGTAAGAGACCACCCGGTCTTTTCTTGGTACTTGACGATGTGTGCGCGACACTACACGGCGGAAGCACCGGTGCTGACACCGACTTGAAGAAGGTGACCTTAACCTTTTAATTGCCGGACTCTTTTAAGAAATTTAAGACCGAGTGAGAAACTTCCTTTGCTCTTATCAGTCATCTTGCTCTACTTCCTTGAGGTGACTCAAAGAATTTTAAATTCAAAACTTGTCCCACTATATTCACTGTAGTGATTGTTAATCAAGACATTTTGAAACAATATTTTTAATTAGCGTATTATTAAGGCTCCTAGGAAGTCTTGGTTGATGACGCTAGAAGCAGAAAACACATAATTCCCGCAAAATACGCAGAAATAAAAAGATACATCTATCAAATGACACTTATAATTGTTTGAGCAGATCTGTAAAATAGCCCGAACATTTTCTTTTTGTTTTAACAATCAATGAATAACCGTAAAACGTTAACGTTACGGTTAGATCCGTCATAGTGACATGTAACCTATCTTTTTAAACTACCTCTGATTGACCTCTATCTCATGATTTTCTCAGGTTAAATTTACAACTATTTATTGATTAGAGCAAAAAGTGTTTCGACTATCTTGCAGATCTGTATTTATATTTTTGTGGATATTTTTTTTATTTTTACGTATATTGCAGGAATTTTAAACGTGTATTTTCTTGCTCTTTTGACGTCGTAAATCAAGATGGCGAGTACCCTGGAGCCTTAATTATCACAGATAAAGGGACTAATTATTACGAATACAAAATATTTTTAACTTAAGTAAAGAGAGTAATTATCATGAATACAATGTATTCCTAATGATCATAGACATAGAGTAGAATCTCACTCGAACGAATCCTAACAAGTTTACGCCTTAACGTATGACATAAATCGCAGAAACTGGCGGGAACGGCCGAGCAACACGCTCACTTCCAAGATACCGGCGACGGTTTCGCGATTCTTCATTATGCCGGAGTGGTGTCTTATTCCGTGGACGGATTCTGCGATAAAAACCGCGACGTCCTCTTCTTGGATCTGATAGAGCTGATGCAGACCAGCACGAAGTAAGCGATGCCGGCGGCCATTAGCATGATTATCAATTATTCATGTGACACATTATTTCGAAAGTGGGTTCGGGCAAACGGTCGCCCGCTCGATGATGATTAATCAGCTTGTGCTCATTCTTCAATCGACTCGAATATTCAATATTGGAGGAATTGTCGAAGGTAGTAGTATTATCGCGGGTTTTGCTCTCCGATATGCTCTCCGATATGCTCTCCGATATGCGATATCGGTCACGATGCCGCGCCTCGTTTCCCGATACCTCGAGTGTACCAGCAGGAAATTGTCGTTGCAAAATGTAACATTTACTGCCCAAATGTCCGGCATTCGGAGCCGCCGTTACATAAATAATTCCACGCTAATTCCACATAATGATCGCGTAACGTTAAACGACCGTTTACTCGCATTTATTTACGTAAGAGAATCGCGCGCGGAGCACTGCGCGAAAGTTGCCTTCGCAAATGCCGGATAGAATAGTCAAACTGATTTTCGCGTTTTGATAGAAATTAGGGTAACACATCACGATAATATGTCAATAAATCTAATCACGATAACGTAAATTCGTCGATTAATACCCTTGATACTTGCCTTAACACTTTACCTACCAACACCGCAGGCACACCGAGACAAATATCCTTCTACTATTACTAAGAAAAGCGATTTATTGATTAATTTTCCTTCTTTTAAGTAAATGACAATTTTCAAAAAAGAATATTCTCTTGATAATAGTCTTAAAATATATTTATTGCAAATTTTAAAAAGATTGCAAAGAAAATTATTATATATACTCAAAAGAAGGATGTATTCTCTTTACGAGAATATTATAAAACTTTATCGAAGAAAAAATCGATTTGGTTTTATGTAGTAAGCGTGTCGAATTTTTGTTTTAGTTTATTATTCTCGATAAAAATGCTAAAGTCTGCTAATAGGCGGTAAAGTGTTAATAATATCGCGATCGTATATAGTCGAAAACGTAAAAAGAAAATATTTGACTTCAGTTCTTTGGTGAGCGAGCTTTATCCGCGGGAGAAAGATGCCGCTAAAATGAAAACTCTCAAGTCCAGACCTACTACCGCGGGAAACAAAATTAGAAGTCAAGCCAGCCGTTTAGTTGGCCAGCTGATGAAATGCACGCCGCATTACATACGGTGCATCAAGCCGAATGAGACGAAAAAGCCGCGTGACTGGGATCACTCGAGGATCAAGCATCAGGTATGGTAACCCAGCTGATAAGGAATGAGTTAAGTTGGTCATATTGGTCACGTATTGCATTTATGGTGTATTATTGTAAGAAAAAGACAACGGAAAAAGAATCGCAAAATATTTTTTTTGGCACTTTAAACAAAACGTCTGTGACCAATAAAACATGCTCGAGAGCACCATTACGTTGTTTATCATTCATTTCATTTTCATTTATTTATTATCATTCAGTTTATTTTAATATTCTTATATTACAATAGCAATGATATAAATTATTATTAATAATATAATTGAACGACTCGCATTGTGAGATCGAGGCAGTTATGTGACAGAAAAGAGGCAAACAATGAAATAATATGTCTTCTTCAAGATAGGATAAGAACAGGAAAGATAAAGTGAAGAAAGCACGGCCTGTAAGAGCCTAACAGTTCTTTAGTCTGCTAAACAGAATTATTCAGGAAAAGTACTTATGTTTTAAAAGAGGCATAAAAGAGGCATTTTGCGATTTCATTTTCCATTGTTTCTCTCGTAATAAATACATAAGCGAAACGTTGGATTTCGACATGGTCCTCCTTGTTGTTCGTGCTTAATTTTAAACATCTCGACGATTAGACCCAAACGTTCATGCTTATTTCTTCGCGAAAATCCAGGTGGAGTATTTAGGTCTGAAGGAGAACATTAGAGTGCGTAGAGCTGGCTTCGCCTATAGGAGGCCGTTCGCCAAGTTTCTACACAGATATGCGATTCTCACGAAAGAAACGTGGCCTCGTTGGCCCGGAAACGAGAAACAAGGCGTGGAATGGATATTGGGAAGTATTCATATGGACAGATCGCAATATCAGCTTGGCAGAACGAAAATTTTCATCAAGGCACCTGAAAGCGTATGTTTTTCCGTCTTTCGGAATTTCTTTCGAACGCGCGTTTTGAAAGCTTTGTTCAACGTTAATCTGAGGTCTTTCGATTTAGCTCTTCATGCTGGAGGAAGCTCGTGACCGGAAGTACAATATGTACGCACGAGTCATTCAAAAAGCCTTCAAGAAGTATTTCGCGCGGAAAAGGCAAGAACAGCAGAAGCAGGAAGCGGCCGATCTTTTCTTCGGCCGTAAGGAACGAAGGCGAGCGAGTCTGAATAGAAATTTTGTGGGCGATTATATAGGATTGGAAACCAAACCGCAAACGATGAGTCTCATTGGAAGACGGGAAAAGGTGTTCTTTGCTGAAGTCGTGAAAAAGTACGACAGAAGGTTTAAGGTAAAAATTCTAATCGCTATGGAGCAAAATAAACGCGGAATACAGTTGTTCCATGTTTATATCAAGAGTAAAGAAACATTAACTTATTATTTTCTTATTATTTTTAATTTATTTATTACTTAAATTTCTTATTTTGGTAAAATTTTAATAACTTTTAATATTTAAAAAATATTTTTAAGTTTAGGATATAAAATTTAGAACTTCTATTCCAAATTTAGAACATAACGAAAAATTTATGTAACAGTTGAGCAGAAGAGATCTTATACTCACCGGAAAGTGTCTTTACTTAATCGGTCGAGAGCAGATAAAAAAAGGTCCCGAGAAGGGCAAATCCATCCAAGTTATCAAGAGGAAACTGCCGTTTAGTCAAATCAGTCATGTGTCATTGAGCACGTTGCAGGTAATTATCGTGGATTATTACGATCATCATATATTCACCATATGTTAGAATTTAAACACATTTGGAAAATAATTCTCTTTTAGGATAACTTTGTAATTATCCATACGAAGGAAGATTACGCTAGCTTGTTGGAGTCTGTATTCAAAACGGAATTCCTCTCTGCCCTCAACAAGAAATATCTGGAAGACATCGGTCATCATTTGAATGTTAGGTTTAGCAACAAGTACGGCTACAAGTTATTTTTATAATTGTAATATATTATGATCATATAACTAGAATTCTGATTTTTTTGTCCATATTTCGTTAGATATTTGGCTAGTTCAAACAATTTTTTCCCGTGTAATGAACCTTTTAATTCGTTTTTCAGTTTGGAATTCAAAGTGAAAAAGGAAGGTTGGGGTGGCGGCGGGACAAGACAGCTGAAATTTATACAACTTGATTATGGCGATCGGGAAATCTTAAAATCGAACGGCAAAGTTCTCGTTGTAAGCATCGGTCCGGGATTACCGAACACGACGAGTGAGTTTCACTTTGTGATCATCGACAGATAATTTTTAATTATGCTTATTACACAACATGATATTGTGATTCTGTTTCAGAACCCAACCCAAATCGATCAATTTCGCCTGCTTATCCACGCAACGGTAACGTCTCGAAGTCAAGCTGTACATCACTGAAATTGATCTCCCAAACAAACGACAGAGATATCTTACCGCGTAACTTTACCTCGACTGCAGTTCCGAGTAATCAAACGACCGCGGCCACGAGGGTGTCTCTTCTTCGTCCAGTGGCAGCGGAAAGGACTATGACTTCCGCACAAGCGACTTCAAATAGCAGACCAAACATTCCACCAAATCGGCCAAATCTTCCAGTTACACAGCCACATAAGGCCGTAAGGAAGGACATGAACCATCCCAACAAATTGCAAAACAGACCGAATGCTGTAATGGGCATGTTTGTTAATCCCACTGCCGGGCCACGTGGTAAGTTTCTTATACTTCAACAAATTCAATTTTTAGGAAAACGAAAAAGTTCTTCAGTCCTTTCTTTTTGTAACAAACAGATCAGCTGTACTAATGAAATATTCTCATAATTGTTAAATAATGAAAATATATTCAGTTGAAGAGAATTCGCGTGCACTTTTCGATGTGAAATATATGTGGTGGATTCGCGCACTTTTTTTATAAAGAGATCTATACTTAAGCATACGTTTTCAACATGTAACATTTTGCAGGTTTGCTCAAATTTCCTCCACCGCCTACAGAACCGCCGCCTCCGCATGAACCTACAGGATTCAGACTGCCACCCCTCAATAGTGAAAATAATAAGGTTTCTGATCATCTCAATAAAGGGATGCAAACGAGTCAAGAATGGAACGTTAGGGAATTCAATGACGCGACGACGCGTGTAAGAAAAAAGGAGGAGAACGCTGCGTACGCGATAGCTAATAGAAAAGTGCCGCCTCAAAAACCAATACCACCAAGTTTGCCGAAGGTTAAAGCTTTGTACGACTATGAGCCGCAGGATCTCGACGAATTAAGGCTTAAGGAAGGCGACATCATAGAAGTACTCAAAGAACGTGAGTTATTTTGCGGTATAATCTTTTTTGCTTAATAATGACGCAAGATCTTGCTTCATAAAGAAATTATTGTTGGTAATGATGATACATAAGCTACATGCTAATTAATCAAGGTTCTTGTTTCAGATGAGGGTGGTTGGTGGCATGGAAGACTGAAAGGAAAAACGGGTCTATTCCCTTCGAATTACGTAGAAAGGTTGTGAACTTTGTAATCGATATAGAGCAGCTTTTATCAAACTTTGATCAAACTAATCGATAACTGTCATTATATGGTAGCCTAAAACCGATTTGATAACACTCATTAAGATACTATAACTTATGTTGTTATCTATGTTCACCAGCATAAAATTATAATTATAAATATAAATCATAATTGATTTCTTGATTGACATTCTTGATGTTGTAACTACTAATGTTACATGTCGTCAATGCTGTATAGTATAATTATAATATAATTATTTACATGGTATAATAATAATATATTTTTATGCTGTTTACGTAAGATAAAGATGCACTCGATTTTTTGACATTGGCTTTGAAGAGACAGATACTCCGGGGTTTAAACATGAAGCGCGTATATCTATGCCTTTGTAAGTCTCTCTATATTTAGAACGGAGAGATCTTCTTAATCCACTTCGCCATATCTGTTATTTACATTCTTCATTCTTCTTAGCGATTGTATAATCCAATAACTTAATGAAAGAACCTTCTGGAAATTAATCAAAGGCTGGTATTCACAGTCGAATTTTATATTTACGACCACTTTAAGTTTAACTTCAAATGTTTTGTAGCCAATGAAATCATCCGTAGATTATCTAAAGATGAATTTAAGACGGTCTTAAATATAAAATTATGAATACCAGCCAAAAACAAGTTCTGTCATTGAAATATCTGCTGCGTTCTAAACTGTATCGTGAGGAAAAGTGTCCAAGCCGTTTTGAAATTAAGTTTATACAGTACGTGTATAAAATAGGAGATTCTGTCGTATACGATATAGCAGCACATTGCGAAGATTTAAATTGCAAATACGTACATGGAAGTTTAGAGTTATGTAGCTTTGAAACAAATTGGATGAATGCTTGTTGTTTTTGAAAATTAACAGATATTTTACAATGACAAGTTTATTTATATCGGTTGTAGAATTATGAAATTACAAATATCTCAGACTTCCTGCGAAGTGCCCAAAGAAATGTCTAGTAGCACAATTTGATGTTTAATGTATCTGATAAGCATTTTGTATTACGAGATTCAATAGAAACATCTAGATGATAAAGTATATATATATATATATATATATATATATATATATATATATATATATATATCGTTTTTATTGTTATGTAATTAATTTACAAAAAACTTGTGATTCTTGGATCGATATTTATAACAAAGTATAACTAGTTACCAAAAATGAAAGTGACAAATAGTTTGTAATATGGGCGATGTAGAGAAAAGGAATCGACGTTTAAACAATTAATTAAGAAGTATTAATACTTTGTCATAGATTATATCTTAAAAGCATTGAGAATAATCTTTTCAATTATTTAATATCCAAAAATTTACTAATAATATTTAATGTTGTTAAATATAAGGTAGGATGCGTATATATGTACATACCATGCGATACAAAATAATTATGTAATGAACTTATTTTTTATTATATATTTATTACTTCTAAAATAAATATCCCTTTGTGACCTGTTGTTTAGTCGCACTTAAATATCTTTGCATCTACTCAGTGCAAAGGAATTATTTATTCCGTGTGTATGTGCATCTATAATTAAAAAAAAAGATATTGAATGTACGCGATCCATTAGCCAAATAAAGTTAAAATATGAAAATAAAATGTTGTTTAAACTTTTATTTGCTATAAAAAAGTGATATCAAAAAGTTAAATTAAATGCTAAATTCTATAAAAAAATAACGATATTAAAATATTGATTTAACTATGGAAGTAAAAAGAAAAAGCCCATATAATACAAATGTTCACTAGATATCCTAAGAACATTCTAAGAATATTCGAATATTCTTAAAACGTTCCTAGGATATACGTTTGCAAAGATGTATTTTCGAAAATGACATGACATGTCACGTGCGCCTAATTCTGGCCATTGAAACCAGGCTAGTAGCCGCTCTCATGCTTCTCTCTGGTGATACATACTTTTCGGAGTCAATTTTACATAGCACTATATAAGGGAGTCAGCAGTCTAATATTACATAGAAGTTTATGGTAATAACTAAAAACGGTCGAAAATGTCGTCCTTCTTCAATTACTTTTGAATCATTCGAAGCCTCTCCTATACAGCGCTTTTTGCTAAACATTTGCGCTATATAGGAGAGGCTTTGAATGATTCAAAAGTAATTGAAGAAGGACGACATTTTCGACCGTTTAATCTCGGCTTAATAATTTAGTTATTACCATAGACTTCTATGTAATATTAGACTGCTGACTCCCTTATATAGTGCTATGTAAAATTGACTCCGAAAAGTATGTATCACCAGAGAGAAGCATGAGAGCGGCTACCAGCCTGGTTTCAATGGCCAGAATTAGGCGCACGTGACATGTCATGTCATTTTCGAAAATACATCTTTGCAAACGCGACAATTGCATTAAAAAACTGTAAAAAATTATTCCAGAATATGCTCTAGATGCTAACATTGTATGAGCTAAATAACTTGCAGTAACATGATCGACTTTCGGCCCATGCCCGAGAATCCGAATTTCCTACGACGCTAAGTTGAATCCAACGTTATGAACGCGACTTTGAGATATTGGAAAATTATTTTCAAGATTCTGGGCGTGTTACTGAGGGAGTAGAGTGACATTAACACACATTGTCATCTAAGAGACGCAAAGCGAAATACGTATACTTCAGGTCATTTTCGAAAATACGCCTTTGCAAACGCAAAAATTTCTTTAAGAAACTTTAAAAAATTATCCCACGCTTAACTAACTAGGCTTAATAAATTAGCGAAGACTCAAAACACTTTGGTTCGAATCTCGGCTTAATAATTTAGCGAAAACACAAAACACATCGGTTTAATAAATCTCGGCTTAATCTCTAGTATATCACTGAATTTCACTAGATCCAACTTGTTTTTATGCTGGTAAAAATAAGTTGGATCTAGTGAGATCGGAAAAGTTCCGCAAACGGTATATGCTTTTATTCATTTATAATATATGTCACGTAAACTATAAATATATAAGCACATATATGCTTAACGAAATTAGCGATAGTGTATCCGATTCTTACTAGAATCGATTATTTCCCTCGATATATCGGGCTACCGATAATCGGTGCGCTCCAATTAATAGCGAATTCGGTAGCTTGCACTAGTGCGCACTGAGTGCGCATTAAGGCTTGTTTACAGTACATTCTTATATTTAAGATCGTGTCTTAAATACATATTTAAAAACATTTTAACTAATAAAATGATTCGTACGGATGTTATACATATCATATTATGGTTAAAAATATTTGAGAATTTATTTGAGAATTATTTAAGACAATCTTTAAATATAATAACATACTATGAACAAGCCTTAGTGCGCACTCAGTGCACACTAGTGCAAGCAACCGAATTCGCTATAAGTTAGAGTCATAATCGATTATTTCTTATCGATGTCCCACCTCTAGTAATTATATTGTGGCCAATTGTCTACAGAGGACACGACAATGGCTGCGTTCAGCAGAGAAAGTTGCTTTGCAACTGTTGTAAAATTCGTGAATCTGATTGGTACATGCTCTTGGATTTAACCAAAATTAAGAGCACACTCCAATCAGATTCACGAATTTTATAACAGTTGCAAAGCAGCTTTCTCTGCTGAACGCAGCCAATGCGTTGGCGAGAGTTGGCAACCAACGGGAAAACAGAAAGTATAACTAGATAGAGAGACGATATATAGGGTTTTTGTAACAATCAAGTTAGTATAGAATAAATAGCTTTCGTTAGAGAGAGTTCCTGAGAAATTGTATTACTCAGAAGTTTAATTTTGCTATACAAATAGTAAGAAAAATATAATATATTTTGTAAAGTTTGAACACGTTTTTATTAATCTCTATATATGTATGTGACAAGTCACTACATATAGAAGTCTGTGGTGTTTCTTCCAATATATTAAGCGTGATCTACAATGAGAACTTAGCTTTAAGGCTGGTTTATGATGGACGTAAACCGTTAACTTATGCCGAACCATAAAAAATTGACCAATCACAGTCGATTATTCTTCTATAATTCGACTATGATTGGTCAATTTTTACGGTTTCGGCATAAGTTAACGGGTTACGGCCATCATAAACCAGCTTTTAGTCCCGAGCCACAATAGATGTATGTAGTAAGCTTTAAGCCTTAAAAAATTGACCAATCACAGTCGATTATTCTCCACAAATTTGACTGTGATTGGTCAATTTCTTAAGGCTTAAAGCTTACTACACCTATTGTGGATTGGGACTTAAGGGACGTCTACATTGGAAGTAAATAGCAAGAAGTAGGAAGTAAGAGTAAGAAATTGACCAACCACAGTCGAATGTGAGAAAAATAATCAACTATGATTGGTCAATTTCTTATTCTTACTTCCTACTTCTTACTGCTTACTTCCAATGTAGACATCCCTTTAGTCTTCACTGTTTGCGACCTCGAATAGAAACGGTAGCGGCTCGTAGCGGAGACTTGATAACTAATAGAACTAATGGGTCTAACCATAACGGGTCGCTCAGCCGAGACCCGAATCTCTTGGAGCTAAGAGTTTCTTGTAAAGTCTAATAATAAAATCTAACAACGTTGAATATTAAACTCTTATCGAGACAGAAGTTAATCGAGTTCGGAAACATTGTGAGGATACTCGACCCTCCAAGAGAAAAAAGTAATTAAACATCGATTCATCGATCGAACTTCGCCCATCCCTAGTGACAGCTGAGTTGGATGAAAGCGATCGCGTCGGCGGCGATTTGCGACTTAGCCGCAATTTTGTAACAGGTAGCTGGGATTTAAAAGACCACGTACGTCTACACATTTTGAAAAGCTTTGTCGAGTTCGCGTTAGGACGATTCCTCTGGCACTGTCGGAGTAGCCGAGAGAACAAGAAAGAGGTGAGTAGATCCGTTTGGTTAGGGAGTGCCGGACAGCGACACCGGTGTTTACGAGTTGCGAATCTCCGTGGAGATTCGCGAGCTCGCCCTTGTTTACGTCCTCGCGCGTAACCTCGCATTTTTTACGAGGTATATAACAAGCACATCTATGTACGCATCAAGAGTGCGATCGCACGATTCTGACGTAACTGTGTCTATTGCAACGTTTTAATAACATGATTTCTGCCTACGCGTATTAGAATGAGATCAGCGCGTGACAGGCTTAAAGATTTGTGCTCTTCGTGTCACGTTCATATGTTGCTTCTGTATTTTTGTAATGTAATAAGGAATACACTATACGTACTCATACATACATAATCTTCATATTAGCTTTAATAGATTATTCTTTTGCATATATATATATATATATATATATATATATATATATATATATATGTATATGTAAAATTAGCATATATATAATATATATTAGCATTACATATGTTGTTTTTTTTCCAGATTTAAACATGGTAGTGCTTAGCAATTTCCTAACGCCACAGGAAGGAATACGTCATGAGGAGCAGAATACTACAGTATATATCAATGATAGAGAAGTAGGAAAGGGTACTTTCTATATCACAGAAAGGTAAGTTTGTGGTGACAAGATCAAGATAAGAATTTTCAGAATAGATGTTCCATATTCTAATTGTATATTATCTTATTCACAGCGTTCTTTCTTGGGTGAACAGTGACACACAACAGGGATTTTCACTTGAATATCCTCATATTTCACTACATGCTATTTCTAGAGATGAACAAGTTCATCCTAGACAATGTTTATATGTTATGGTGGATGGCAAAGTGGATCTCCCAGGTACGATTGAATGTTTTGCATATACTGTTTTATATAGCAATAAGTAATATATGTAAAAAGTTTAGTTACATATATAGGATGTTTAAAAAGAGGTTTACAGTTGATATAGTACATAGTACTTTCTCTAAATTGAATAAAAATATTTAATAAACATGAGTCAAAAGATTAATACCTTTCTGATTTACGATTCCATATCTGTTCAGATTTACAAAGTCTGCTTGTTTTGTTCACACTGCATGTAATAATATAAGTGAGTCAATCATGTACATCATTAAAATCGAAAATTGCTTCAATTCTGAAAGGATAGATTTTTTGACTCATATTCACCTATATTTTTTCACTCAGTTTAGTGAGTACTAATTATTCTACAAGTGTTGAGATACTTTCTCAAACACCCTGTCTATTTTTATATATTTTATTTATAGACATGCCATTACCATTATCGCCTGATAACAGCTCAGAAAATGAGGACGACGATGGAGATACTCCAATCACGGAAATGCGATTTGCGCCGGATAATACGAATAATTTAGAATTAATGTTTCAAGCGATGAACGCATGCCAAGCACTTCATCCTGACCCGCAAGACAGTTTCTCGGATGGTAAGTAATAAAAATAAAAGTAATGAGAATTTCTAACTGGCAAACTGCGATGATTAAATATTTCCGCAATCGAAGAGGATATTTATGAAGACGCTGCGGAAGACTATGGAGAGTACAGTGAGGAAGTGGGCGCTGGCGATGCTCCTTATATTTTGCCAGGTGTGTATTTATGTTCAGATTTAATTTTTTGAATATTAGACTGCCTACTTAAATCCTTTATTTAGAATTAAATATCGTATCAACTGATTTTATCTTTGCAATGACATCAGAAGTAAAAATCATATTAGACTTTCAAATGAGCTTGTTATTGATATGAGTAGAAAAGGAACAACTTTTATGTCGCAATTACGTACAGATATTTTGTAGTGTTATAAAATATTCAATTATTTATAGAGCAAATGGGGACCAGTCATAACGGATCGGAGGCGGAAGAAGCTATGGATGTTGAAGCGGGTCAATTCGAAGACGCGGAGGAAGATCCGTAAATTGTGACCTTTAGGTCCGAATGGCATTTAGTGTTAATTTACACGATTACCAATTTCATATATTTCGGTAGGTATATGTGACATCGTTATTGCAAGACTTACGTATGAAACGTAAAGCACCTAAACATTTATTTATATTCATTTTGTACATGATGATAATTTCTTAGAAAATAAATAATTGTACATCAATCTTGGGGGGTTTCATTTCTTTATTTTTTTAATAGAGTTGACATAGTCTGCGACTTTCTTTTTGTAAGAGATTTTTTTAAGACTTTTGCTTTTTTTTTTAAGAGAAGAAAGAGTATTTCACACATATCTTTCATTTCTTCAAATTGATGAAATGCAGAATTGATTGAAAAAGTGATGAAATACAAATAAATTGAGCGGGTATAAATTGGTCATATAATATTGAATAACATTAAATGATAAATTTGTCTATGAAAAATCCTAATTTAACAATACTTCATTACACTAGAGTTATTGTAGACATTAATTCATGGTATAGACGTTAACGTGACTAATTTATAATTATTATGAATTCAAAATGCATACGATACAACAAAGCTTGAATGGATTTAACGCGTAATTTAAAATCGGCAGTGCGTTGTAACAGAAAAGTCCCTATTTGATCGATCTTTCTTTCACACTTATACATTTCGAGAGAAAGAAAAGATCAGAGCAATATATTTTATTTGCGATATTCAAGAGAGTTTTACTCGTGACAAATATTTTTTCAATTACGCTTAAATGCACTAAATCAAATTATCTGTACATATATGATACATTAGTATTACTTAATTGTGATACATTTCACGATGTCCGTTTTCGAAAAAATTTATGGCGTAGTAAAAAACATAAGAACAAACTGTAGTCAAACGTTGGCGAGTTCGATGTCTCATGCATTACACACACGTTCCTCAGAGTATAACTATTTGATTTTTAGAATTACTAATCGAACTTATCGAATTTTCTTTGGACCGAAAATAAGGTCGGCATCAGGAGCTCCTTTAGGATGATTATACTTTTGCCGTCGTTCCCTGTTCAAGTTCACAGTAACTGGTCTTGTGCCTTGATTGATGGTTTCCTGATAGTCCTCCTCCTCTTGTCTTTCGGTGATATTTAAAGTCAGTCTCTTCACGCGTTCCTTTTCCTCCTTCTGCTCCTGTTCGCGATTCCTGAGATTCATAGCCAACTCGGACGACACCGGCACCGCTAGATTCTTGTATTGCTGTTTATTACCCTTCCTCAACATCAGCACAAAGTCTACCGTGGTGTTGTCACTCGGCCTCTCTTGTAACTGCTCGTATGTTTTTTTAGTGCTTTTCACATGCAATGGCACCGAGATATCGACTTGCTGTGGTTTCACCGAGTCTCTCATACGATCTTGAATGTTATCTGATACCATCTTATCTAACGCCGATAGAAAGTCGTCATCCTCCGGACAGCTCACTCGTCGTGGTCCAGCTGGCAAGGCTGCATTGAGCTCCGTTACATCCATGATTACACCCTCAGTGCCGCCTTCTGACAGACTTTGGTCGCCTTGAGTGTTCTCTTGGGTACCCATGGCGTCGTCTCGCTCCGCGTCGGCCGTCCATTCTTCCTCGGACTGCGCTTCGGAACAATCCTCAGACTCTTCGAAATGTAGCTCGGCAATCCCTTTCGCGTCTCCGCTGCCGTTTCCGGTCACTGCCGCCTCCTCGTCCACCTCCATGATAACGCCCATGTCGTTCTCACCATCTGCCCGGTCTACCGTCGCGTCGTCGACGGTGGGATTACCCAGTGTTGGATAGAGAGTGCTTCTCAATTCGTCCACAGCGCATTGGGCCTCCTTGTAACTCTGGAACAGCTGCATCTTAGGTCGCAGCATTGTCAGGGTGTCGCGATACATATAATCTATCCCGACGGGGAACGGATTCTCGGTTGTCCAGACGGGGTCCGTGTACTTAAACCAGTAGTAGTTCTGGAAGAATACCAGAAAGTAGTCCAGCTTCTTCTTGCTGGAACCGCCGTTGAAGTATTGGCCGCAAGTCTCCAGCAAAGTGCATACTAATCGAATACGAAAGAGGTGTTCGGGCGGATCTAGTATGCTCTGCACTGAGTGATCCATGCTGACGCCAAAAGTGATCAGGAGATATAACGTGCGGAAAATATCGCCGCTTTCCACCATTCGATAATTATACAATTCGCCCAGATACTTCACCATGGCGATGCGTCGTTGATTGAACTTGGGCAGGTTCACCTCCATGCACAGGCGAATATCCTCGAGCACCCCGTCGACTACGTGCGGCCCTATAGTCTCATAATGGCCCACCAGGCCGGCTAACAGACTTCCCACGCAGCGAATGTTGAGATACTTGACGTTGTAAGCGGCAGTGAGACACTTAATGGCATAGGATGACACGCTCTCGTCCTCCCAATCAAGTTTGCGCATCCACCTGAGTACTTTATCGGTGTTCGTCTTCGAGAGGTCTTGATACAAGAGCTTCCTTATGAATTCGTGCACTGGTGGTCTGTCTTTCCTCGAAATGCCGCCAGTGGACTCGGGCGGGTTCACGAAGTAGTATGCGTTCTCTATTATCGTGACGTAGCGAGAATCAAGAGCAGTAACTGCCTTTTTGCGCATCATTTGCTCTAGGTAGACCTTGGTCCTTTGGTGAGAATCCGGCGAGCAAAAGAGATATCTGCCACAAATCTCTAGCAGATTGCAGGCCATTTCGATGTGGTGGTGCGTGAAGTCGTGTAGCAACACCTTAAGACAGTAGAGCGCCTCTATTTTGGTGTAGAGCTTGAATTTCACGAGTTCGCCGATGTAACGGACTACTTTGATCTTCGACTCGATGTTGATCTGGTCCTTCTTGCGCACGTGATACTTAAAGTCTTGTTTGAGCATTTGGCATAGGTCGTTCCCGACGTCGGGCATCACCGAGTAAAGAATGGCGGCTAAGCGAGAGTAGAAGGGCAGAAGGTCCAGGCGAATTCTAGAAACGCCAAAAAGAGCTTTCACCAGCTTCTTCTTGTTGTGCTTCGTGTTAAGATTCATTAAGAAGTGTACCGCGGCATTGTCGATCATCTCGCGATTCACGCAATTCGGCAAATGTGTCAAGAAAGCATCCAGCATTATCTTATTGCTGATGTTCGAAACTTGTGGCTCCTCTACCTCTGTATCCGGTTCTTCTACTTTCTCGGTCTCTTCCAACTCGTCGAACACTATCTCGTCGTCTAAGGCGTCCTCCGTTATCGGCACGTCCGCTTTCGGTGATTCTTTCAAATATGAACCCGGTAGGAACACGGTCAGATCCGGCAAAACCTCGTAGAAGCGCCTCGTCTCTTCATCTCCCCACATATCCTCCAGCATGTTACTGTCCTCTCCTTCGTTGATCATCTTCAGCGTTTCTTCCGCTTCGGCTTTCATTTCGCTGTCCACGGGAAGCTCAGGCATTGGCTCGTCCAAAGTATCTGAGAAGCTTTGCACGCTATTTAGTAAACGTTCATAAGATACTTGTAAGGCTTCAAGCTTTTCTTTCCTTTCTAAGCTCAATTCGCCTCTGGTCTGCAGAATTTTACGATTTTGCTTCTCAAATGCTTGCAGATCCTTATGTTCCTTCAACAAGTGCTTGCATAAAGAATTATAGTAGTCCCGCAGCAATAGTTTAACATTTTGCTGCTTGTCGGGCGACAACAGCTTGCTCTTGGGAATCGTGACGCTCAATTTCTCAGATAACTCTCGAACTTTCTTAGGTACCAAACCGGCGTAATCCTCGCCGCAATGTCGGCAGAAGCTTAATATTATGCTGGCGTTGTTGTGTTCCTCCTTGTCCATATTGATCAAGACCGTCAACACAGAGCCTAGCAGTGGAAGCCCTTGCTTGTGCGTGAAGATACCTGCATTTACCAGTTCTGCATAGAATCGAAGGTCCACTCTCAGCTTGCTGGGATTCGCGATCTTGTCACCGATTTTCAACGACAGTATCCTTTGCCAATTTTCGAAGAAATGAGTGGAGAACTCGGCATATGTTTGATGAAGAAAGCTGCACACTCTGATGGCAGGTGCAACGTCATTCATTTTTATTTTGGCATCTACCAAAGCTGTGGCAACTTCACTCACATATTTAGTCAAGTTTAAATTTGCCATGTCCTTCAGAACGGTATCAAGCTGTGTCATACTGAAATTCTTTAATTTCTTCACAAATGTGGTGTTTCTCTTGAGGCTTGAGTCCAATTTACTAAAGGATGTGTCAGATGGTCTCGTGGGATTCAGATTAGCTGCACGAATCTCCTCCTTTGTCGCCAGCCTTTGCTCTGTCTCCTTCACATAATCTGATAAATATTGCTTGTCTTCTTCCGAAACAGCATTTGGGTCTTCAACGACCACTTCTTTCTCTGTGGCTGTCTCGTTGTTCTCAGACATTGTGCAATGCTCTGCAACATAAAAATATCAGCTTTTCCTTCCAAGAAGAGATTCAACAAATATATAATATTTATTTGCTGTAGGACAATTAAAAATTGTACAATTTCTAGATACAAGTTAAAAATAATAATTTTCTCTTCCAAAAGGAAACTGAATATACAAAATCCATTTGTCTCATTAGAGCTTTACATAACTACTTTACAGACAACAAACGTGTTAAAAAATATCCTAATTTATCATAAGATACAATGAAATTTATGATCACGTGTTGGGTTATGTTACGTACTCGATGATCTGATATTGTCGACGTATGCCGACGAGCGAAAGTAAAAAATTATTATTTATATATTTATATAATATATCATAGGCGTTAGTTATACATACCTTACTGAGGCAAGCAGCTAATAAGTTATACGTCTTCCAATTGTTTACGCGTGCTTTCCAGAATAGGAAAGGTTATGTTGCGGCAGACGACAGTTTATTTCATGGATTCCGACGTCCGGTAGACGGAAATCATTTTATTGACACGCACAAGAAATCAGATACACGTTAGTTTTTGTATATAGTCACGTGGCAAAAATTAATGTGCTATTTATCAACTTCCCATTTTTTCGAGATTAAGAGATAACTAGCAGAAGCACATTACTACAGCTTTGTCGCGTTGCTTGCACTCTCGACACTTTTTCGTTCATTCGCATCTGCTGTGTACGGGCATTAGGTGGAAAAGTGTCAAAAGTGCAAGAAATGCACAACTCGCTGTATACATACACGTAATCCGACGGAATGTTCACGTCGATAAATTGGCGTCTACATGTCCGATATATTTCAATATTATCGATCAGACTCGCAATAATAGTGATAGCGCGCCTACAGATGGCGCTGATAGACGCGAAAGACGTCCAGAAACTTCGTGAAAAAAAAACTGCCATTTCTTTTCCCCGAACAGGCAACTGGCACGGCAGACGTACTTCGACGTGATAGTTTTTTTTGAGATTTTCGTTTATTAATCGCGATCGTAGTAATTAACGTGCCGCTGGGTAAGAACTCTGCGATATTCTTGTCCCGCGTATTAGACTTTCCGTAAAGCTGCTCTTGTTTCGTACATAGGACGATTCCTTGGTTAACTAGGTAACGCCTTCTTCTTTTTCTTGCGATAATGACTATCCTAGGCTAAGGCTCGGCGTACTTGCGCGGGAGTAAAGTTGGTTTTCGCAAAATTGCTCCAAGAAATTGCTTGAAAAGAAAACTTAATCGTGTTTTCAGCCGCATTTTCGGAAGAAAGTCTCAGGCGACAAGGACGATACGATCTCTCGAACTGGTCTCTCGCTCGGCTGTATATATCAGTCGGTGAGTATTTTAACAGAATGTTTTTTTAAATCACTTGACGATAAGGTTCATGGTTTCTAAGTTTCTAAGGACAGTTAAGACGTTTTATGCAAACATTGACGCGAAAGAACGCGAGATAATAAGTTATGGTTAAATATTGCCGTGAATGAATCGAATATACATAATGTATCTTATGTTAAACGTTATTACATGCTCGTTTTCGTGACTTTTCGAGAGACAAGGATAGGATGCATGAGTACGGATACGTATGTGGCAGCAGATATGCTGCGTTTGATATACATGGTGTCTCTGGTTGAACGCATGTTCTATGATACATGTATTATTTGTAGGTGTTGGAAAAATTCATGAAAAAAACTGACGTACTTCAACATAACATATGATGTCGAAAATTGTGCAAAATATTAATTCAATAATATTAATTCCCAAGTTTCAAAGAATTCGAAATTCAAATATGAGAGAACATTCCCCGCTGGTACAGAAATCTGACGAAGTGATTTATCTTTGCAAAAGTAAGGGACAAATATTCTCACTCGTAATCGGAAATACGGTAGATCAGAGAGACACCCGGTATAATCGCACCACCACAAAGAATCCATAAAAGGTTAGGCCGGCACGTTTTTCGTGCGGCACCGAAGTAGAGACACTTTAAACTGCGACACACTTGTGTCCCCGCGAGCATAATAACGCGCCGCTATTAACCGCGAGCTTGTATTAAGCACTCGAAAAAAAGCTTTCATGCACTTAACGACAAAATAGTGCGACTACAGCGCTATCAGCAGTGAGATTGTTCGTACTGACTTTTTTAAAGTCTATGCTGATTTTAGAAGGTATATGCGTCTGAACAGCATTACTGTGACAGTCGAAATCGTCCGTCTTCGTGCAATTCCTATTAAGTATAACTCTGGTAAAAATTTAGAGCAGTTTTTGAGCAATTACCGGACAATTATGTTAACTTTTGTTTAGTATGGAAGTTAGTACTTTTGTTTAGTATGGAAGAATTTAACTTTCGGCATTTCAAACAAGATGTGATGCAGTTATTGCACGAAAAATACGCAAAATTTACGAATAACTATTATAATAAACGCTAAAAGATGGAAATAACAAAATATATAAATGTATAAAAAGAGCTGAAAAAATATATATGCGTTTTTGTATAAATGCAAATTACACAAATATTTAATGTTTAATTACATATTTGTAATAATCAACAAATCCTGGACTGTAATCAAAATTTTTGGTTAGTTACTGACTCTATTCTGGCTTATTTTCTACTTTGGAAGTTTTAGAAAACCTATTTACTGAACTTATTTGCTGAATGAAAACAGAAGAGAAAATGAACAAATGGCTCTTCAACTAATTAATAATCAAGTTTATTGTTCAAAAATAGGCAGTTCTGCTCTAGTAGTATCTCATCTTTTGTGCATGCTTTCTAATTAAAAAATTTTAATGTTGGTGAGAGTCATAACGTAGGAAATCTTAAGTACATTATATATATAATAAATTATAATTAATTAATATATATATAAATATTAAATAAATTATAATTAATTAATAATTAAGATTTCCTATGTTATGACTCACCAACATTAAAATTTTTTAATTAGAAAGCATGCACAGAAAATGAGATACTACTAGAACAGAACTGCCTATTTTTGAACAACAAACTTGATTATTAATTAGCTGAAAAGCCATTTGTTGATTCTCTATTTTGTTTTTATTTAGCAAATAAGTTCAGTAAATAGGTTATCTAAAACTTTCGAAGTAGAAAATAAGCCAGAATAGAGTCAGTAACTAGCCAGAAATTTTGATTACTGTTCAGGATATGTTTTTTATGTGACATCTTTCACAAACCATTAAAATATGTCCTTCCATCTATTCTTGTACTATTATTTTACGAGGTACTATTATTTTACGAGGTTTTGAACCATATCGTAATAATTTATATATATTTCAGGGAAGAAACATGTTAGTATAATTAATCGTTCTCCCTCTTGCGTATCAAAGTTGACGCGATATTAAACAGCCCCGGTGATTTTCATTAATTATAAGAAAATATACACGCAATTTATTCGCCATCGATCCTAACGCGAATTCTCGGAGCGCGGTTGTTTACAGTGGTAAGGAACGCGGTAATATGACGCTCACGCGCGCGCGGGTCGAGCGCACCGGGTAGCGCGCGTACGCGAGAAACGAAGAATTAAATAAATTTCATCCCTCGCGCGCAGCCGCCTCGCCCCGCGGACTCCTCGCCGCCGTGGGGTTGGAGATCGGCACGCTAGGTATGATGCCGCGTGGCAAATGTCGCGTGAAATGCGATTTCAGGTCGCGACGGTGGGTTTTCATTCGATGATTCTCGTTACCCTCGTTACAAGGGGGTGGCGGAGGAGTGGCGGGAGCAAATTGCGCGCGAGACCGTGAGAATAAATTGTCTCCAGTAGTGACTACGGTTCCCCGTGCGCGCGGCGGCGGCGGCGGCGGCCAGAGGGTGACTGTGGGAGCGGGTGGAACGGTCTGTTTCGCGTTTCCGGGGAGTTTTCTTTCTCCCCCTCTCTCTCTGTCTTTCTTTTTTCTTTCCCGCTACCAACGTAGTCTCGACGCGCCCTCGCGAATATTTAGTTACCGCGAGCTGCTCTCGTTACCGTTTCATCTCGCGGCCAGGTACGTGCGACGATTCCTTGAGCTCACCTCCGTTTCTCCCGCTTCGTTTCCGCCGATCGTCGATCCCACCGAGCACGTTACCCTTCTGCATGCGTCCCTCACCGCGCACTCCTTACCCTACGCGGCAGTATAATTAATTTAAGGGGCATTAATCGTTCCTTCTTGTGCGCCGCAGTTGGCGCGATGCTAGACGGCTTCGCCGGTGTCTTGCGGTTGAGCATTATTGCGAGCTACTTCTGTTACTACTACGGCATAGAGTAACATCTCTCTTGCATACCTTGTGTTAGAAATATTCTGAACAAATACATATGTTCAGATCTATCTGCGGCCTAGTTAACTTTGCTGTTTTGATAGCCACTTTTGATAGCTAGATAGTTTAATATTAAGCTATCTAGCCACTTTTAGAAATAGTATTTACATACATAGCAAAAATCGAATATACCATGAATTTTTTGCTAATTATTTGTTATTCTTTACTTTCTATTTGGATATCGAAAGAAAATAAATCGTTATGTAGTTTGGTTTATTTGCCTTCGATATCCACAGCAAAGAATAGCAAACAATTCATGGTATATTCGATTTTTGTAATGTATGTAAATATGGTGTATAAAAATACTTTTTTAACACCATCTATTAAGAATTTAAATCACCTACATACTGGCCACTAATTAATCAGTTTTATCTCAATATAATTTCTTTGCTTAGTTATTTGACGGTTATTCTTTAGTAAAGCTTATATAGTAAAAATTAACTAGTATCTTGACATGTGATCAGCTTTCCCCGGAAGTTTTTTATTTTCTTACTATTTCCTCGCATTTTATTTTATTTTATTTTTTATTTCATTACTAATTCTTCTACTTTGGGATATAAGGATTTTTAACGGATTTACATTTATCATTTTGCTGCGAAAGGCAAATAGAAATTAGCTGATATTTTTGCTGATAATGCACTCTCGCTTTATTTGCATTGGGATAGAGCGGCAATTGGGGCCGACAATTGGAGTCCCAAAAATCGCGAGAGAGAGAGAGAGCGAGAGAGAAAGAGAGAGAGAGAGAGAGATTTCGTTGCATTATTCCTTCGGAAAGTAGCAAAGTCCGATTGATCGTTCTCGCCTAGCGTGAATATAGACGGCTGAACATTTGGACGCACGTCGAATTACAGTCGTCACTCGTTGCCGAAAGGGTTAAAAGGCGACGCCGTGAATAGTCGGTGCGATTATTCGACGATGAACGCGAAGTTCTCGAGTGGAGCGGTCTGCCCCGCGGCAACTTCTCACTCGCACTTCGGGGACTTCAAGGGATCGCTCGGGCGTTCTCTTCCTTGTTCTTAAAAGACTTCCTCCCGGGCTAATGGTCTGCCACTCGTGCTTCCGTGGCGGGATGTATATTGCAGTTTCTTCTTTATGGCGCGTTGGAATTTGCGTGCAAACCGGTGTGAGGTGGTTCGCGTCGCGAAATGCGCGAATATCTAAATGGCAGTTTGATACTTTTGACGTTTGGGGAAATGTGCGGCGGATCAATGGAGAAATGCCCACGTTGTTACGTTTCCGTGTGCAATTTTATACAGTCAATGCGCGCTACGTTAGAAAAGATCAAATTACTCACGCGATTACTGTAGCGAATAAACTCGAGTATAAAACGTTGTAAACGTCATGCTAACATTAAAAACAACTGATTCAAATTGGAGTCAAAA